TACCAACATCTGGTGAAAATTTCATGTCATTAGCACCTCTAGTAATATATTTACTGAGAAAAATGGTGACGTGTTCAATACTTATTTTACCCGCTGTATGTCTGGTTCACAGTTTTTAAGATGTCAGAACAGAGTCAGAGCCAAAGCTGGATGTGTTTTATATTTTAAGATCACCTTCAGCTTTTTTTGTCATAAATTTATTCATGCTACTACAATCAATCCACCACTTGTGCTGTTTTTGTAACATAATATGACAAAACTTTGGACATAAAAGCAGAAGTTTTCAACATTTTTGAACAAGATTGCTCAAAGTTCATGTTTTTATAACTTATTATAGACAGGGTCGCCTTTTATGTCTCCCATCTCAGAGGAAAGAGAAAGCACTGATGGGTACAGTTTGCCATAATGTTAAAACACATTTATTGAAGTGAAACTGACAAAACCAGAAGAATATAAAACACAAACATCACCGCTTATGTCAGAGGAAATTTCAACATTAACTCTTACGTCTTTAAATTACTTTTTTTTTTTTAGCTCCAAAGGTTTGTTATGGAGGAATAAGTTTAATATGTTGGTCTTTTATGTGCTGATCTCACGGTTTAATTATTTCAAAACAAACATCTATTATTGCTTCTGTAAACACCAACCAGAAACTCTTCCTATACGTGAGATGCGTTTTGTTTCCTGGGAATGTCGTGCCGGCCGCTTGGAGAAGCAAAGACAAAAACAACAATTAGTGAATCCAGATCCACACAGGAAGATGAAATGTTTGCTGTAATTGCAGTGAGATTAGAGCAGCAGGGAAATGTCAAAGCCTGCAGTTTAAAAAAAAAGTGCTGTGTTGGCACCGGTCAGTAACTGTTCAGCTGCCTCTGGCTCATTCTTCCTGTCCCCATTACATCATTTAATGTGAAGAATATTCAGTTAGTTTTATGAGTTACAGCTGCTGTTTTGTTGTCATCACAGACAGATGAATTTAAAAAAAAACTAAATGACTTTCAATTTAACAAGATAAAGAAATACAACAAATGTTAAGAAACAAAAAGTGTTTCTTTGCAGCAACTCAGATGACAGTTATTATGGAGCATATTTTTAACAAAAAATATATATAAAAAATACAAAAATCGTGTGTTTTGCCTACCACCTTTCATGCCTTATCTTTCAATAAATATGTCATTCTGTTAGCAGAGTGTGTTGGGAATCATTCTCAGCTACTACCAGTTATAGCTCCATATCTGAAAGAGTATTTGAGCTGTGGACACTTTTGTGTTTACAAAGATCAGTTAGCCATGGTGGCAATTTTGTAATGAGCTGACTCTAAAAGTTAGATTTCATCCAAAGTGTCATTAAAATCCATCTGGTGGTTTATTTCATTTCATTTATTTATTCAAAAAGGACAATGCACATTATCAATATTCGGTGAAAATAAATGCGCCGGAATTAGCACAACAGCTAAATTTCATCTGTAGTCCTGATGATGATGATGATGATGATGATGATGTTTATGACATATTTTGCTAACAAACAGTCAAGGGTGAGTCCAACAGTTAAGTTTGAGGCAAATATCTATACTGTATAGATGTGAAATTTTATGAGATTTTTAAATCTAATTGCGGGGTGGCTGTGGCAGAGTCCATTGTATGAATGTGACTGGCACTGATTAGTCTCCATAGATGATTTGTATATGTTAGCTTTGTAGGAGATGTGTGAATGGGTAAATAGGGACACAGATTGTAATGTGAAGTGCTTTGAGTGTCCTGGTTAGGTAGAAAGGTGCTATACAAGAACAGTCCAAAACTGAACCTGCTTGATGAGGTAATAATGAAAAAACATCTGTCTTTGGAACAATTCTTGAGTCAGCTCTTAGTCATGGTAAAGTAAATAAAAAGTATTTTTAAAAATTATCTAATGCCAAAGCCTAAAATGTTAACTGCCTGTGATACATTTGGGCAGTAAATATGGTTTGTGGCAGCATAAAAAGTATTTTCATCATAAGGTCTCAATGAAGGCTTTTGTGTCTGGGCTACTGTTCCTGCAAAAGTTCTGCTTATTTACATTTTTATGTTGGTAACAAATAAAGTAATATCGAAAAGAAAGGTAAGCTGATGTTTTATAAATGTTGTTAAAAACATGAAATTAAAATACAGTAACACGTCGTTGTGGAAACACAAATCTGCCACGCAGGGGAAAAAATATTTTCCAAGCCATAAACACATATTTTTTCTTCAAATTTGTGACTTAATGTCACATCTAAAATCCATAACTTACTGTATTTATTCAAGTATAATACATAAAATTAAATCCATAAATTATCCATAAAGTTGGGAGGTAGTATTATACTCGGATAAATATTTATACTTATGTATTTTAACTGAAATATCGGCTTCATTCACAAAATGCCTGAGTCTGGAAATGAGACCACATCGTAAAAAGCAGTTGAAGCAAACTTACCTCTGACACTCCTCCGTGCTTCAGAGTGAGATAATAACAGATCCAGGCAGGAGACATGATGTGAAAAAAGGGGGAAAAAGTATTCCTGCACCTTAGTAATGATAACAAACTAATGCCATTATGTGTGACCGGGCCGCTCCTGGAACAACAACAAACACATGTTCGTCTGTAATGGCTGCCGTCTACCGGTGTTCTGAAAAAGTTTGTATCCCTGAAAAAAGTTTCCTCACCAGAGGGGGCGCTCGTGAGTAGGAAGTAATCTGCTTTTCCCCCACAAGATGGCCCAAATCTCATGTGAAGTCTCTGACTTTTGTGTTGGCGCCTCCTGGTGGACTATGTGTAAAATGCCAGAATTCATATGATGCTGCTACAGCTGATATATATTTGTTGTCAAAATACCTTTTAGTACATGTGTTGTTAAAATAAAATGAACAGTCCAGTGATCATTTTACTGATATGTATAAAGACTGCAAAGGCTGAAAAATCTTGAAGTCTGTATGAAATTGGAGGTAGTTTGAGGATTAAATTTTTTATGCTTTTTAAGCTAAAAAAAATGGTGGGGGGGGGGGTCATATTATACATGAGATCATATTACACACAAATAAATACGGTAGGAGCTCAAAATTATCGGACAATTAAAAATCCTAATTAAAAAAAGTATTATATAAGTCAGAATTACGATATGCTAAATCATAATATTTAAATGATAATTCCAAATTGCGAGATGTAATTTACGTTCTAATTTTGGTAAAACTTTTATGCTAAATTGTAATTTTAAGGTGCTAAGTTGTAATACTAAATCATATTTATAAAATAGTATAGAATATAACAATAATAAAAAATAAATACAAGTTTTACAATAGTTCCTCATTATAGACCATTTTATATTAAAAAATGTTACAATGCGTGAAGCGAGTCAAGCTCACGTTTTTCGGGATAAACACTGAGGCTGCTATAGAAATGCCATTGGAATTGAACAAATTCAGCCGCCTTTGTACGAACCTGATATATTTGCTCTAAACTTAATTCATGTTAAAATTTCCTCTAGAATCAAAGGTGAGACTTTTCATAAATATCTAGGCTATAAATCTGCTTTTTGAGCTTGTTGAGTTTGCACATTTTTATGGTATTTTCATGGCAACCTCAGGGTTATCTCAGTTGTCCTGTGACCACCTACAAAATGGTCTATTATAGCTTAGATCAGAGGTGCCCAAAGTGGGGCCTGTGGGCCAAAATTGGCCCGCCGAGCCATTTGATTTGGCCCACCAGCAGTTGTCTTGATTATTAGATTGTAATTATGTTAAGATTAAATATAAAATACAAGTAACTAGAGACATTTAGATTAGATTTAAGCCCATATATAGATTTGCACACCTTATAGCAGTGGTTCCCAAACTTTTTGTCTTTTGACCCACAAAATATCCATGGCAGAAACTTGTGACCCCAAATATTACTGGTCTGAGTACACGAACTTTGTTAATAACCCTAAAAACACAGGCTTTCTGACAATATAAACAGCCTATACACAAATATAAATACTTATTTTTACTTATTTTGGGTTTTTGTAATAATTATAGGGAAAATATTACATCAGCAATAATTTTATTACCCTTTAAATTGATTTCTGGAGATTATCCAAGGTGCTTCATGACCCATAATTGGGTCCCAAGCCCAACTTTGGGAACCAAAGTGCAGTGGTTCCCAAACTTTTCAGCTTTTGACCCACAAAATAACAGCAGCAGAGACCTGTGCCCCCAGCTATTTTTGGATGATAAACATTTGTATCAGGTCAACTAAACATGGACATAGTAACAATATTTTTATACTACATTTATCCATTTTAAATACACTAACCTCACTCATTTGTAACAACTAAGGCAAAAATGTAATTAATTCAGAAAATCTTTTCAGGACCCCACCTTGATGTTTCGGGACCCCACTTTGGGTCCCGACCCCAACTTTGAGAAACACTGCCTTATAAGACCACGTATTCTCAAATATTAAATTATGAAAAGTCACATGAGCCTTTGCTGCCTGAGGATACATTGAATTTTCTCCATTACATGTCCGTGGGCTGAAAAAAAAAACAACAACTAAAGAATGTGGGCAACCACACTGGCTGCTGGCTTAACCATAAAAAATAACTTTACTTAAGTATTTCTTATATTATAGCATTTGGCCCACGGCCTACAGATTGATTTTTAATTTTGGCCCTCTCAGGGAAAATGTTTGGGCACCCCTGGCTTAGATAATTTTATTTAAATCAAAGTGGCAGAAATGGACTTCCATACAGTTGAGGTGAACTTAAAAATAATTCAAACCATACTGATTAATTTTCATGAGGGAGCAAACAAATCTAAAAGTTGTTTTTTTTTTCTTAACGGCCTTCATTCTTGAACTGTTCAGAGGGAGTGACTGAGAAGAAAAGCTAACTATGATGTTGTTTTTTATGACAGAGGGACATTTTATGAGCCTGTAGTGACCCCGCCCCTCTGCAGCACACAGGACTTCAGTCCTGTCAGTCACTGAGGGGTTAAACTCCCTCCTGTCCTCTGGATTGAGCAGAAAACCTCGGAGTCCTGCTCGCTCTCGCGCAGCTGCGTCTGATTGGGGCTCGTGCTGCTGCTCAGCTTCGAGCTCGTGCGACGGGAGTCCGGCTTCTCTCTGGACATTCAAACAGGTCGGTGTTTGCTCTGCTTTTTTCTGTCTTTTTACCTGATAAAATGCTCCTGGTGCTGCTGAAATGCAGCAGTACTGAACCACTTCATTAGGTGCATTAAATGTTTTTGTTTGGTTTTTTATTTTTTTCATATAAAGCTTTGTTTTAGTGACATCTAGTGGTGAAACAGTAATGTTAGTAACTGGTTTGTTTTGTAAAGATTGGTGAACTGGTTCTGAAGTATTTGGGATGTGAAGTACTGGTTTGAACCAGTGACTGACTCAGGGGAAAGTTACTTCAAATGATTTTTCTGTAAAACAGTCAATAATTTCATATATATCTTTTGTTCTGTATTTTTAACCTTTCCTCTCTCCAATGCAGTCTCCATGAACTCATAAGCTTTATGAGCTTTTTTTGTGTGTTTCCTTTGGTATGAAAGTGTGTGCATGCTGTGTGCAGTGGGCCTGTGGTATTTCACCATCTCATTCACTCAGTCTGACTCATTCTCTTATTTCCTCCAGATGTGCAGCAGCGCTTTTTGTTTCCTGACAGACCAGGATTGTGACACTTCTTGCCCTTGCGTTGCAGTTATTCTGCTGACGGATTTAAATTTATTCCTGTGCTCTTCACTCCAGTGTTGTGCTGTGACACTTGTAGAAAAAAAATGCTAATAGAACTGTTTTCTGAAGGTAAGGAGCTGCTGCCTGACTTTGGAGGTGGTTGTAAAAGCGTAACAGTTTAACTCGGATGTGCAACAAAGTGCTGACGTTACAGCAGTTTTACGAGGCTCTGGTTGATGGACGGGAACAGTCATGTGTCAGACTTGTGCAAGTCGAGCATTAAGTGGTCCAGAAGGCCCGCAACAAAACAGTGGAGGCCTGCAGGGCTTCGTTCAAACATTCAGGGGTTTAATTAGCTGCTATTTGAACCTGCAGGTTTCATCGATCAAAAATGAGTTTATTAATCAGCTGAATTACAGTTTCAGAAGGTTGTTTGATGGTTGGATAAACTCTTAATCCACAAAACAAAAAGTGCCGTATCTATAAGGAAATGAAGAGAAAAGCCTGAGAGATGGAGCCTTGTCTGATCAGGTGTTGCTCATTTTGAGATAATTGTCACAAAGCTGAAGCTGTCTACAGTCTTCATTTCCTCTCAGTATCTTACACTGCAAAAACTGTCCACCTAACCAAGTTTTAAAATCTGATATCAGCCTAAAAGTATTTTTGATCTTGTTTTCAGACTGATTTACTAAACAAGAACTGATTGTGTAAGAATAATCATCTTGTTTTCAGAATGTGTAAGATTATTTGTCTTGTTAGCCTGAAAATTTGACTCAAGTAAAACTTTTCTGCCAATGGAGTAAGAACATTTTACTTGGTAAGATTCTTGAMWT